GAAGTGGCGCTGTGGCTCAAGTGGTAGAGCACTAGCCTTGAGCTGAAGGAAGAGCTGAGGGACAGCGCCCAGGCCCAGAGTTCAGGCCCCACGACCGGACCTCCCCCCCCAAAAAAAAGAAATATATACAAAATTGCCAAATAAGCGAGTAATTCTTTTCCTAGATTAGCTGGGATGACTATTGTATTTATTATACTCTCCTAGTTAAAATACGAACAAATAAGATTCATACCCAAACAAAAAGTAACATTTTATGAGTTGGTAAAATGTCTGCCTCATATAATAAATAGTTCTCAAGCTTCCAAATTTGGTTGGTAGGGAAGCAAAGGATGTTTTAAGACTGACAGGGTCTTTGGCAAATTACTGCAAGGGCATGAATTTCATCTTACAGAATTGAGTTCTTTGAATTTCTATTTATGATTTTTGAACAGTGTTTAAATAACAGGGTTGTGGAGAGCATGTGCAATTTTAGCAAGCTAGTGAGTAAATCTAGCCCTCTGTGGAATTATAAGTAGGATTAAAATAGTTTCATGTTGGGAGAACACACTTAGCTTCTCTAGTCTATGAGATTTATCAAAGTGTATATACCACAGCTTAGAACCACTTCCAAATCTGGGCTACAATGAAGCTTAGTGCCAACCTATGTTTTCTGAAGCCCCAAACAGTTTTAAATGCTTAGACTAGACAGCGGCCATCTAACCCAGTTATTTCCATATGGCAGGCTGAGGATTTGATTTGCACTCTTTTAAAATATAGATTTCTGAAAGAAATCAAAGTGAGGATGAAAACCTTTCATTTGGTTTACAAACGACCACAGTGAATTGCATTCTATACAGATTTCCAGGCTTCCAGCACTTGTGAAAATATTTCCTATTAGCATTGCCATTTTCCATTCCTGAGGTAGGTAGAGGAAAGGGGGGTTGGAATGGAAGAAAATATTTTAAGAAGGAAAGATGAATATAGCAAGATCATAGTTCGAAGCCAGCCCAAACAGAAAAGTCCCCGTGAGACTCATATCTCCAATTAACCACTCAAAACTCTATGTGACACTGTGTCTTACATCACCCTTCAGCACAAACAGGCTCAAGAACAGCACCCAGGCCCTGAATTCAAGCCCGACACCTGATTTAAAAAAAAGAAAGAAAGAAAAGAAAAATAGAGAAGACAGAGAAAGGCTTTTGTATGAACAAATAAAATAATCCGAGTGGTCCAGACAGGAAGCCGCAGCAGGGGTCAGTTGAGACGGAAAATTTATGGAAAACAAAAGAAAAAGACTGAGAGACGGGGGTTCACAATTCCTTCAGCCAGTCTACTCTGGTCAGCCTCTATAAATGAACAGATGGATGTCTGAGACCTAAGTCCTTCCTTCACTTGGTTCAAGACAATTCAATACTGCAGGAGCCTCTGCTATGAGCGGTGGCTCCAAACTAGATGTTGATGCAAAAGCAAAGGTGAGCAAATGCAAAGCAGTGCTTCCAGGACCTTGAGACAGAATGGAGGAAGTTAATTTATCCACACAATCCGCGCTGAGGGAGCTCCCAGCATGAAGACTGCGTGTAGGAAACAGTGCCTTCATGCTAGCCATAACGAGGCACTCAGGTGAGCATCATTTCTGAAGATGTTAAGGGAAAGAAAGCAGGCTGGAGGAAAGGACTATGGCCTGCCTTTGGTTCATAGCTCAGTGCTACCTGAGGCAACTAGGCAAATCAGGCCAGGGAAACAGGGTCAGGGCCTTGGAAGATGCAAAATGACATTGCTAATTGCTTTGATTTCACATTGACCTGTAAAGAAGATCCAAGTAGTGTGGTCAGTCTTATTCCATAGATGAAAGCAATACCGAGGGACCGATAGAGGAAAACCACATACAGATGTTAGAGACATACAGAACACATTCTTGCCTGGTCTTCTACCCCTCTCCTCTTGACACTGCCCCTGCCTCTTGCAAAAAACCATTTCCTTGTACTCATTTTGTTAGGCTTTGACTAATTTTTTCTAATGAATTTAAACTACTTGCATTCTCCATAGCTTCATTCATTTACCTCAGTTCATTCATTTATAACCACTTGGGTGCCACTAAGTGTGCTTACTTCTGGGTTTAGAGGTACATTCTATTTCCACTAATGAGGGAAACTCTGCAACCTGTTTCTCTGGGTCTGGCTTACTTTACTTAGCATAATTCTCTCCACGTCTGTCCCTTTCCTTATGAATCATTCAATGTCATGCTTTTTGATGGGTGAGTAGAATTCCATTGAGAGAAATAAGGGAAGGGGGTGGGTGGAAGTGGAGTGAAGATGTTAAGGGATGACACAGATCAAGATGCCTTGTAGACAGAAAATGCTTTGTTAAATGGCAAAAATGCCAATACATAACCTAAAAATTACAAAAAGTGAAGGAAGAGGTGGGCGTGGGAGGATTGGGTGAGATTAAGTGGTAACATTGATCAAGAGGCACTGTATTCATATACTGCTCTGTTGAATGGCAACTTCTTTTTACAACTACCTAAAGAAAATAAAAACACAATTTTTAAAATGTTAGGGATAGCTACACTGTTAATAAGAAGCCTAAAGCCACTGTAAAACCCAGATAAGGGAATCCATAGGCATTTGAACCTCTAAACTAAAGCAATTGGTCCAAAGTGCTCAATAGATGCAAAATTAGCCTAGATCTAAACTGCAAGGTCCTATTTGATTCACCCTACACTTTCACCCCTGTTATTTCTTTCTCTCTGAGGGGATGCTGTATTTTTTTTGTTGTGAAGATGTTGGGGATGCAAAGATGCTGTTAACTAACTTCTTATTGGTATAAATCATAATATTATTCTAGTCTAGACTACTCTTGGTCAGGCATTGTACTTCATGTAGAAACCATATATTCTCAAAATTCCCGAGGTGG